GGAAAACAGTCATGAATCTAACAATGTTAAGGTAAATATTTGCTATTACTCAGAGTATGACAGGTAGCAGAAGCAGACTTCCACAAATCAATACGTGTTAGAGAAGTCTCCTTTTTCGGTGTTTTGCAGGTAATACAGAAGAAAACTAAAAATCTAAAAAATAGGATTCCTTAGCTGTGGCAATCTCTGTAAATTAAGACTGAGAACTTTAAATCAGTGATCTCCATTTTGAATTTGAAAAGCTTGTAACTATGTGATAAAAGCAACATAGCTATGAAATAAAATGCAAATACAATACTTCCACTGTCATCTTTTCTTCATTGTGGCTGCTTGTAACTTGCTCTTACAAATTCTTATATCTTTGCAAGAACAACTCTTGTTGTGGTTCAGCTAACTGTAACTAGAGGAAATTGCAGTCTAGCTATATTGAAAGAAAAGCATAACTGGTGTTTTAGGCAGCAGTCAATAAACCAAAACCATTTTTAATAATGTAGTTTGGGGTTTTTTTAATATATCTGGTCAAAATTCATTAAAGTGATCTTTAGAATGGAAACCTTTTCCCCAAGGCAATTTCACCATGAAATCTGTCCTGAAGAAAGCCTATGGCCTGTATGAAGCTAAGAGTTGCTTTATTTTTGTTGGAAGGTTATGGAAGAATTACAGAATTACATTGCAAGGCAGTTGTCTTTTTAGAGAGGTCAACCTTAAATGGACTGCGGGGGAGGAGAATACTTTGCCATATTTCTGGCATTTAGCAGTGAAAAGAATTTCCTTTTTTCACTCCTGCATATTTTTGCTAAATGGATCTCTTGACTTAGACTAGGCTTATTTAAGTGCCTTTAAGTGTTGTCTTTGTTGGCTGGTTCTGGTTTTTATCTACAAAACTAATGATATCCAGTGGGAATTCCTTTTAGAGATTTTAGAAGTCCAGCTTTTATTCTGATGCCTCTTTCTTCTTTTTTCTTTTATTCAAAAAATAATTTTGGTCCTAAACTCATAGCAAACTTTCTTGTTGTGGCCTGTGAATGAAACTGAAAACTAATTTCACTCCAGTAATTTCTCCATAGCCCATACAGATCTGTGTGGGCTTGGAATTTTGTAATTCCTCAAATAGTATTGCTCATGTTCTTAAAACAGAATTCCCAATGTTTGTTTTCAGTTTATTTGACTGAATCAGAAGTATCTTTGTAAACTCTGTGTGTGTGTGTAAATCCTGTATTTTCATCACCCGACCCCAAGGTAACAGTTTTTAGTTTGTTTTGTTTTTGTTTTTTTTTTTTCCCCCCCTGTATTGGGGTTTTGTCCTGCAAGAGAATGGAGCGTTACAATAAAAATCCCAGTATGTTCTGAAAGTTGAGGTTTCATATTAGACTAGTGATGTACAGAAACCTACTCAAAGGAAACTTAGAGTGAGCAGTATCTTTGGAAATTATGGTGGGGAACAGTTGCTGTGCTAAAACTTATGATAGAAGATCTCTTAGAAGAGTATTTGTTTCGTTGTCTGTTGAGTGAAGCAGGGTGTGCATACTTACTCTTGTGTGTGTGTGTCACAAAAATAGTGGAAAATGGCAGTGGATTAACCTTGTTCCCTCACAAATCATATTTGTTTTTTCCTGCAGTTCAGAATGCAAAATATCCTTGGACTAACTGAATTTTGCTGCTTCTATTTGTTTTGGTGGCTATCTGCTAGCTTGTGGTTTAGTGTCTATTTATATTTATAAAGCTATTGCATCAAAGAAGATAACCATGTCTTAGTTAAGAGCTATTACTTTTAAGGTATTTTTTGAGAGATCGTGTTGCTCTAAATCTTTCTGAAATTGGAGAATAAATTCTTGAACTGAGTTGTAACGTGTACTTGAAACCTTACTTTTCTTGTCCTTGTGGAAAAGGGACTGTTTTGAGAGACTTGGAATTCGCTAAATGTTGTGCTGACATATGAAACTTGTGTGCCAAGTTTCCCAGCTGGATTATCTGATGACTCTGACTTTCGTCTGCCACATATTACACAGAGTTTCTGTGAAGTAAAACATAGCTATGGCCAAGAGAAATATACAGAATCGTAGATATAAGTGTATGCTCCTTAGCAACCAATTGCTACAGTTTTATTGATCCCCACTGGTAAAAAATTGGGAATGGATTCTCTTCACATGCATTCTAACCTTCCAAATCTTAGTATTTCATTTTCCATGTCCTTTTGAATTTTTCTTTCTCCTTTTAACCAGGAAAGCTAAATTTTCACTTCAAAAAACATTTGAGGATAACATTAGTGCAATTCCAGGAACTGGAAGATTGATTAAACATACAGACTGTTGTGAGATTTTTGGCAGTTGTATGCTGCTATTGTTACTGTTTTAATTCCTTCTGTGTCTGCTAAAAGTAAATGTGGGTGACAATTTTAATGTTGCTTTGAGAGGACTGATATTGAACCTGAGAGTTGCTGATACCGAGCTGTGTGAACATGTAGCAGGTAATAAAAGGCTGGATGGTTTAACAAAGGTGTAAGGGTTTTTTTGGTAGGTTTTTTTTGGTTGGTTGTTTTTTTAATTCTATTATGCCAACCATTTTACTATTTTTTAGCAGCTTCTTCCAGTAATTTGGTTTCACATATTACAGGATATTCTGGCTCAGGGTTTCACTTTCTTCTAAGGGGAGCAGGGAGAGGTTGGTTTATTTCTTTATTTATTTTTATAATTCTGCGAACAGGTCCAAGCATCTGAAAGGCAAACTGGAACATCTTAGACTTTACAGTTTTATGATTAATCCAGTGCAAGTCCGTGCTGGTGCTGAAAAGGGCATACTGCTGCTGCTTTTGTGCTGACACGGGGAATCACTGGAGAACTGAACACTCAACAGTCTCTGCCAGGTTAGTGGTCAGCCGGAGCCATTCCTTGTTCATCACACAGTTGCACAAACTGTAGTTCTGGGCAAAAGTGAAAGTGGGAATGAGCAGTGGCAGTATGAGGAGGCATCTTTTAACAGAAGCACCAATTTATATGATTAAGTTGCAATTACCCCTGCATTTCATACTGACCTATTTTGTCAGTAATTTCATGTGGTTTGTGACAGTAAAAAGGGTAAACTGCTGCGAGTTCTGTAGCTGGAAGTGATTCAGAAGCTTCATGCGTAGCTATGGCTTTGGAGTAATTTTCTTGTTCTTCAGGAGACCTAGGCACTGAACACCTGACAAATGGAATAAAATTGTTTCTGTGGATATGGCATCCATATATTTTAGGCCTGAAAACTGATGCATATGAGTAGCTGTCCCACAGCTTTCATGGTTTGAGGTTTGATCCAAACACTTCTGTGTCTTTTCCCAGGATCTCTGTGTATGGATTACCCTACAATAGCTGTTAGCCAAAGTGTTTAGAGACCACGGAAGTGATGTTGTGAAAGTAATGCTGGAAAAATATTGCAGAAGAGAAGAGTCTTTTGAAGGGTGTAGGTACTCTTCTCTCAGTTAGAAAGGGTTTGAAAAGTTGTCATTTCAGTGATAGAAGTAAAAAATTGAGTTAGTTGTAGTATAGACGTGTACTACAAATTTGCATGAAGTTATTTCACTTTCCCTCCCTACTTTGATCTCATGCTACAGTACATTGCAATGTACTGGTTGGTGCCTAAATTGCCTTATGCTACGTAGCATGCAGGTTGAGTAACTGTTTTTTCCTTCAGCTGAGCACTCAGAACACTTTTGATAAGAAGTTTTAGAAGTCTTGTAAGAGTGACAATGGAGAATATCTTTTCAGTATGATTTTAGTATCCAAGCAGGATAAGAACAGGGGGAGAAACCAGGTTGCAGGGAACAGGATTATACTGTCTCTGCCTAACAACCTTTATGTTAGCAGGGGCCGGTTTTTCTGCAGTTATCAGTCTAGGACATTCTAAATATAAGAAACTCTTCAATTTTGGTGCACTTACTGTTTGGTAATACCCATGGACCACCACTCTGTGGTGGGTGGGACCTTGGCAGCTGTGGCAGTCTTCGTTTTCAAAGGTGGGAACCAGACTCCATTCTAGGTTAGCTTTCCAGGTGGGATTCCCAGAAATCTGGTGATGGAAACATGGAGATCTAAAAGATGGTTCCTAGCTCCCTGAAGACGTATAAGTGTATTCAGGTTTATTGCTTGGCAACTGCTGCTTAAAGATTTCTCATTCAACTTTTTAAAAAAGATAGGTATTGCATGAGATTGGGTACTTGAAATTGTACCTGTGATATTTGAGCATAGTTTGTCAGCTAGTTTTGTTTTTAAAAGAAACTTGCGTTTCACTGCTTTAAAATCACAGGCTTGGTGAACATTGTTGGCACTGGGAGAACAACGCTTTCCAGATCTGGAATGTGCAGCTGAGCAGTGATGTGTACTGCCTGATCAGCTGATGAAATGTGGGTTTGGATGTGTGATTTTTGTAAATGACTTCCAGATGTTAGAATTGCCAGCTGTATGTCTCAAGACTGCACTGTTAGGTCTAGATGATGAAACAAAATGGATGAAATGTGCAGAAAATAAACTAGTAGTGAGCCTATACTTGGAATTATTTTCTCTCCAAAAAAAAAAAGGAAAAGGAAAAAAGCAGCATGATTGTATAGTCAACTTATTCACTAGGCAATAGCAGAAAAATATAAATGCTTTTAGTTAGGGGTTACCTGCATTAATTTATTACCCGCAAAGGGCTTGAATTGTTGACTAGCTGAGGCCAGGCAATTTTCTGTGTATCTGCTGTGTTAGGAGCTCTGAGTTCTTTATCTACCTTAAACTTCCTTGTGATAAAACATGACTGTTAATGGTGCTAGAACTGAAATCCAATTACCAACAATGCTATCTTTTTGAGTGGCAGAAATCAAAGTTTACTTTGGAGTTTCCATAGAATTTTAATGAGGTCTCTACATAGGACTTTTTTTATTTGAAAAAATTTCTTTAAAGGTTTTAAATCCTCATACTTGTTGAGGGATGGGGTTTAGCTTGAAAGCAGTGTTTGATTTCTCTCTTTATTTTCCCCAGGAAGTACTAACATAACCATGATAGAAGACAACGGTCCACGTGTGGCTGACTATTTTGTAGTAGCTGGGCTCACTGATACAGATACTGCAACCCTCCTGGACCAAGAAGTAAGCCGACATGAAACTAAGTCACCTGGTCCAAAGGCTCCAATTACTGACATTGCTGTGATAATTAAATCAGCTGGTGAAACTGTCCCAGAGGGGTACACCTGTGTTGAAGCCACTCCTACAGCCCTTCAAGCCAACTTAAACTATGGAAGTTTGAAGAGTCCTGAACTTTTTCTTTGCTACAAGAGAGGCCGGGACAAACCACCGCTTACTGACATTGGGTGAGATTTCTGTAACAATTCAGTTCCTCCTTCAATAATGATCAAATCTTACTTTTCATAGGTGTTGATGAAAGCAAATGTGAGAACTTTATGCCGTCTTTGAATCCATATTGATTAACGTGTGTATCTGTGTAGTATTTTCTTTCTGAAATAAGCTGAAATAACTGTCAATATTCTAGTGAACTTGTCTTTTTAAAATTAATGATAATGTTTTATCTTATAAAGATAAGATTATATATATATATATAAAGAGAGAGGAAGCAAATCAAATATGCAAAATGAAATTCTCTGCTGCAGTTTTATGAAAGCTGAGAGTATAGTACAAAATTAATTTATGAATTAATCCAAAAATATAATATGCTTAATCTGAAAGCGATAACTTCAAAAGACAAAAATTATCACTTTGTGGAATATACTTTAATGCCTAAGGTAAAAGATATCACTTAAAAATGGTAGGATACTGAAAAAAAGATCTTAAGTTATTCACCTACCTGGAATCTTGTAGCCTGCCTTATTGTCAGTTCAGGGTATTTGTGAGGTTGCTTACAAGTTCTGACATGACTGGCTGCAAACCCTGGATTATGTCGTGTCTTGGTAACTCTAATCATGCTTGTATTTCAAACACCATGGTTTTTGATATCTGAGGTTTAAGTTCCTAAAGAGTTCCTAGTACTGTTTTGGAAACCTTGGATGAAGTCAGTGCTTTACATTCAAGGCTTATTAAATGCAGGGAGCAATGTAGCAGGGAAGCTCTGAACTGCTGTTGTTATTTACAGGATACTGAGTTTTAGTATTCAGATTCAAGATCACAAAATCCCTCAATCTTGAGGTGATAAATATTACAGCATGTGCTACTAACATATTGAGGTAATGCTCAGTCTGTAATCACTCATGCAGCACTACAGTGCTCTCTATAGCACTTCTCTGGTTTGGCTAAGGACATTAATAGAATTACTGGGGATGTGATGGAAAAGAGAAAACGGAGCATGGAGGGCAGGGGAGCTGTTACAGTGATGGGAAGTTAAGGCATGCGTGTGTTTTTCTTAATTTAGTTATTAAATAAATATATTAAAGAGTAAAGTAAAAAAACAGACATCTATCTATATGTAAGCTGTAGTAAGTGCAGGTAATTTCGTTTATGAGTTTAAGCACATCAGGCACAATGCCTACATACCCTGCTTTTGACCTGCGGTTTGAATGCTGAGTCCATTCAGGAAGAAACTGAGAGTGAAATCTTAGTGATGAAATTAGTTACATGGCAAGATATCTGCTCTAAGGCCTATAGTTCAAGTTGTGTAATTACGGTGTTGCCTTCTAATTTCAGTTCATCTCGATTGTCTAAACTATGTTCTAATAACCTTCAGTGAAACTCTGATTTTTAAAATGGTCTTTCCCCATGTATGTGACAGACACTGCAGGATGAGATAACTGTAACAGTGGGATTTGACTGTGTAGAATTGCAATATGAAGTTATTATTTGAATTATATGTTGGACTTCAATAAGTTTTAGCAGAAGGAAACATTTCTAGAGGGAGTGATTCCTTAAAGGGATTCCTAAACTGTCAGTCTCCAGTGTGTGCCTTTGTGGAAGCGACTCTGCTAACGCATGTTTATTTTCCTGTCTCCCACAACTTTAGGAACTTGGATGCTTGGGTAGATTTCATAGGGAATACCTGATAAGCAAAATAGGCAAATAGTTGGCTGACTAAGGGCTTCCCTAACAGAGGCGATTTTTAAAACTGTTGGTGGAAAACTGTGGTATTTGGCAAGTAGTATTTATTCTATATTTTGTTTTCACACAGTCCTAGTTAGGATGTCACACCTAACAAATCATGGCAGGCTTTTCTCTCTGAGCAGTGATGCATATGCATGTTTTCCCCCTGCTGTTCCTGCTGTTTTGCAACTATGTGCAAGAGATGGTTAGAGGAAGGGTGTTTTTTGGGGGGGTTGGTTTGGGTGGGTTTGGGGTTTTTTTTGTTTTCTGTGGATTTCAGTATGTTCAAGTGAAACTGGACTTCGGGCAAGAGGTGTATGTTCAGTCTGAAGGCTAATTTATGCTGTTCTCTACTCTAAATTAAAGAATCGAGTGTGAAAGAATATTTTATCTTTGAGCTTTAAATAGCCATTAAGTCAGCTGACATGCTGAGTGGACTTAATAGGTAGAGGTAAAATATATCTCTTAAAAGGGTCAAATCCATAGTCTTATGTCAAGGTTGTTAATATGTGTATGAAGTTGTGTTACCCTGTAGTCCAAGCATTCAGATGATTCTTGATAAATGCACGTGTGTGTGTATTTCTTGCAGGACTGTTTTTAGGGAAACTAATTAAACAAATGCTCTTTTGGAGGAAGGGGAAGATGGGGGTACATTCTACTGATTCTCTGCCATTGTCTTTGTGTTCTGTATTTCTGTGCCCTCCATTCTTTTTCCTTACTATTCTTCCACTGGTTCTTGAGTTGAAGTGTCTGTAAACTACTAGAGTGACGTCCTGCTGCAGGTGCTTGCTTGCGCATAGCTTGGCCGTGTGCCATGCCTCTGGATGTTGCATTTGCTGTGGCTGGTTTCAGTTGGAAGAATAAGGGTTTGACTCTAGGACGAGATCTCTAAGCTCCTTTTCTACATATAGCTGTAAAATTTAGTATCCTAAGCTTATATGTCACTAAATAATTCAGCTACTATACATTCTGTTGCTTTCCTAACCAATATTTTTGCTGATGTTCCAGAAACAGACCATAACTGAGATTTTTTTTTTTTTTTTTTTTGTTTACGTGCATTGAGGCTTTGAAGCAAGATCTCAGCTCTCTTTGGTACACTTGGTTAGGCAAATGGGAGAACTCCAGCACTCATTTCTTAAATGGAAGAAAAACTGACAGAAAAATGCAGTTTGTAACACTTACTGTAGAAAGAACCAAGGAAAGAGTATCAGACATTTATCTTAAGCTGAGGTTCTTGTATTACTGAGTAATGCAGAAGTTAGATAGCTGGCATTGTGACAGTAAGGAAATACTGATTTTTTTTTTTTAATCTAATAATTTTTTTTTTAACTGGTATGGCAAGCTTTAGTTTTGTTAGTGGTTCTGTGCCAAGGACCCATGTCGTTCTGCATACCTGGTTTCTGAAAATCCCTGCAGGAGTATCAATTGAACAAATCTTTTCTTTACTACAGATGTATTAAACAAATGAAAGTGAACTAAAATTTCAAGAAGCCTAATAGAAACTGGAAGGTGTTCATAACATCCAGCATCTTCCATTGTTCCATAAATCAGAGGCAGGACTTGTATGTTTCTCCTCTGTTACAGTGTGAGGTCCCTCACACGCGAGACACTTGCAGTTCTTCACAAACTAACTGATGCGTGTCCCTCCCATGGGGTGCAGCCCTTCAGGAGCAGCCTGCTCCAGCCTGGGTCCCCACGGGGTCACAGGTCCTGCCAGCAACCCTGCTCCAGCCTGGGGGGGCCACAGCTTCTTCCAGGAGCCTGATTCAGCATGGGCTGCCCACAGGGTCACAGCCTCCTTCGGGCATCCCCCTGCTCCGGTGTGGGGTCCTTCCCAGGCTGCAGGTGGGTCTCTGCTTCCCTGTGACCTTCCATGGCTGCAGGGCACAGCCGGCCTCACCATGGGCTGCACCATGGGCTGCCGGGGAATCTCTGCTCCAGCACCTGGAGCACTTCCTGCCCCTCCTTCTCCAGTGACTTTGGGGTCTGCAGAGTTGTTGCTCTCATACTGTGATCTCTCTCCCTCTGCCTGCAAAATCCTCTTTTCTTAATTTTTTTTTTTTCCCCCCTTCTCAAACATGTGATCAGAGAGGCGTTATGAGGGCTGCTCATGGGTTTAGCCTTGCCCAGTGTCAAGT